ATAGGCCTGGGCAAGAAAATAATGTCGTAGATGTATCATTATAATATCTTAGAGAGTATTTTCACTGCTCAAAATATCCTCTGTACCCTTCCTAACTATCCATCCCTGCACTCCCACCCCTGTAAACCACTGATCTTTTTACTGTCTCCATAGTTTTGCCTTTTCTAGAATGTCATATGGTTGGAACCATATAGCATATAGTCTTTTCAGATTAGCTTCTTTCACTGAATAATAGGCATTTAAGTTTCCTATGTGTCTTTTCAGGCTTCCCTGGTGGTTCAGGCAGTAAAGAATCTGTGTTTTCTCATGGCTTGAAAATGTTTGTCTTTTTACAACCTGACATTAGTGTCTTCCTCTAGTTTTGTTTGACTGATTTGCTGAAAACTTATAATGTAACTCTAGGCCAAGTCAAGTGAAATGCCACGCTGTCGTCTGTGAGAGGATACCATGGCAGTGTGTGAGCCTGTGTAAGGATGAACCCAGTGTGAGGATGAGTAGGTGTCCTAGGAGCAGTGGATGCTTCTGCATAGCTACCAAAATATATTCCTGCAGGTTCTAGAGCCAAATAATCCAGGCTCAACAGTTTGGCTTAGTCCTTTTCTAGCTATGTGACTTTAGGCTAATAAATATACCTCACTGAGCCTCCATTTGCTAGGCCTGAGACCAGTTTATCTTATTTTTTGATACTTGTAGTTTTACTGAGAAAATGAATTGAAAATACTTGTTCAGCCTTCAGGGGCTGAGCCGAGCCTCTGGAGGATGTAGGAGTATAAGGAGTCCAATTACTCTGAGTAGCAGTCTTTCAAACACTGAGTGTAGTTCTTCACACATTAACCTAGTAGGACAAAGACATCTGGCTTCCCTGATAGCTCAGTTGGTAAAGAATCCACCTGTGATGCAGGAGACCCCGGTTTGATTCCTGGGTTGGGAAGATCCCCTGGAGAGGGGAGAGGCTTCCCACTACAGTATTCTGGCCTGGAGATTCACTATACAGTCCATGGGGTCTCAAAGAGGCAGACATGACTGAGCAACTATTAAAAAAAGAAAAAGCAAAGATATTAAATATACAGTATATAAGGTCTGCTGTATTTCACTCATTTGGGTTGAGTGTCATTTCACTAATGGTTCCCAACTTCTGATGGAGCTGGACATTTTTCCCATCCAAGAAAGCCGCAGCCAGTAGTTTCTACACTTTGTGCAATAGGAAAAGCGGGCTTTCGTGTCCCGGCAGCTTCCAGAAGCTCGTGCTTCTCCATCCCTGAGGAGGTGCTCCTGGCCACTGCCCTGAAGATCAGCATCAGTCTTATTACTCACACCCAAAAGACAGACAGGGCCCCCCTGCAGGACTCAGTTTTCAAAGTTCCTATTTTGAAAGATAAAACACATTTTTTTTTTTCTGGGAAGCCCAAAGTGCTGCTCTCTCATCCTCTCAGAACTCGCCTCCTTTCTCTGTGATGTCTGGCATTTTTAGTTCTTGTCCCTTTACCCTTTCATTTAACACATCACTCCTTGACAGAGGCTCACCTTCACTGTCGGGGAAGAATAACCTCAGGGCAGGCCTTTGCTTGTCATCCTCTATGGTGAAGAGGAATGCAGAGAAATAATTTAGATTTTCCCAAATCTCTTTATCCTCTTTGATTTTTCTCGTGCTTTGCTGACGCGCAGGCATTCACTAGGGCGGCCGCAGACAATGCACCCGAGAATTTTTTTCATTTGGCTCTTTTCTCCTCCTTTTTTACTCTTTGTCCTTCACATCGTTGTCTAACCTCTTACTGTCAGAGTCTTCATTCCATACTAGGAGATGCAGAGTATTCACATTTCCATTTTAATCACGGCTTCTGAGGTTTGGAAGGGAACTTGGAGGTCACCAATCTCAGCTCACATAGGAGCTCTGTCCTCAGATCCTGTAGACAGCCATTTAGTCTTTCTGTGGACACTTAAGTGGAGGGAACTGCCCTGTTTTGCAATGCAGCCCATTCCATTACACAAGCGCACCTGACATCAGGGATCTTTCTTATTTTTAACTGTCATCTGTCTCCTGGCGACATCCAGCCCTTACTGAGGTTGTCTGTAATGCTGTGTGGAATAAATCTATCACCTGTTAGACATGTTATCTCTTCTTTTGTGCTCTTTTTATTCTATCTATGCCTTTAACTATTCCTGAAACAGTGTTTTCTTCCTCATTTGTTTCTTTAGTTTTTGGTGGAAACAATTTAGCTTACAACTGCTGTTTGCTTCTCAAAACTGGAAGCAAAAAGCACATTAGGAATATAACTTTCTGTCACTGGAATAGTTCCTTTTATATATATATATATATATATATATATATATATATATATATAGTGCCTTTGCATAATCCTCTAATTATGCTAATTTATGCATCTCTGATGAGTACTGCTCCTATTAGGCTGGTAACAGATGCCAAGCTAATATTGCATTGACCAAAAACCTGTCCCTGAATTGGTGTTTTCTTAACTTGGTATAATCTGGGAACCATTTAGAGAAAGATAAAAAGAGGTTCTTGCAAACACACACACACACACTCACAAAACAGAAACAAAAGCCAAAAAACTTTTCAAGGTAGAATCATGTTTTATATGATGCAGTGTCAGGTGTTCTCATAGACGCTCAACAGGAGAACAGAACAGAGATTAAGATGGTCTGTCAGCCCGCTTGTGAAAAATACAAAGTATCTGAAACCAAGCATCATAAAAAGAATAATGTGCATACCTATAAGTACAAAGGAACACACGGGCTAATAGACACCACTTTCCTATATATACAAAAGGGGATATCTGCACACATACTCAAACATTAGGACAGAACCAAACTGAAAATCCTGCACAGCTCTGAGGCAGATAGAAGTACTCTCATATATGGGAATATACACTTGCCAGCCACAGCCACAGTAATGGATTGACATGACTCTTCAAATTGGTTTTCTGCCTGGAAACAAGTGCCTCTGACAGCACAGAATGAAAAAAACCAGGAGAGGAGCAGCCTCATCTGCCAGGCCCCTGGGAGTTACCTATAGGCCTGGATATACAGGTGCAGAAAAACACAAAGAGAAAACCTCTAAGGTAAAGATGCATAGGGTGGAAAGTGCCAGAAATGGTGTATGAGTGATTATGGAGGGCTTGGTGAGAAACAGGCCAACTAGAAACAAGAGAAATGATAGTAAGGAAAAAAAAAATCAAACCTTGATTTTCATCAATGTCATGTATAGCTTGGAAAATCTTCCTGAAGACTTTCTCATCTCGATCTTATATTTACTAACTATTACATCTCGGCAATCATTTATTGGGCACTTACTATGTGCTGGCTAATTGCTAAGCATTTCATATAGTATCTCAGCTAATTCTTCACAACTTGATAAGGTAGATATTATTACTCAGTTGTTAGTGGGAAAAAAAGGCAAAGATCAAAAGGGTTAAATAATTGTTCAAGATTACATTTCTAGTAATGCAAGACTCAGATAGATATAAGATCAAAGAATTCAAGCACCATGACATGATGGTATGTGGTTATTTTTCCATAACATGTTGATCCAAATGACCTCCAAGAGTCATCTCAATGATTCCCATCTTGCATAGATTGTATTATGTAGAATGAAAGAAAAAGCAGTATTTCAGAATGGAAAGAGAACCAGGATGGGAACTTCAGGGGAGATATTCTTGTCCCAGCTTGGCTCCTAGCTAAATCTACATCATGCAAATCATTCAACTCTTAGAATCAGTTACCTCAGTCAGAAGCTGGGAATAATAACCTATTTCAAGGGTTATTCTGTAAATCAGTTATATACTGCTTGTGAAAACATTCTGAAAATTAGAAGTATTATATGAATGTAGACTATTTAGATAATATAATCAGGTGATCTTCAGGGACTTTGATATTGGAAGCAATATAAAAATCCAATATGAATTAATCATATTATATTAAGTCATTTATGTGTAAATTTGCACAGCATTTGTGGAGTGCCTATAGAACATTGTGCAGAGTATTAGGAGATATAGGGATGTGGAAAACAGCTCTTCCTGCAAATTTTAGGTTTATAACCTAAAATGTTTTTAATGGTTTTAGTTGCTGTATTTCAGAAAAAAAAATAATTTTATTTTTAGCATATGTTTATTTATGTGACAATAAACTGTATTACTGTCCTTGGATTTGCTTTTGTGACTAAAAGCACAGTGGAAAAAATTGAGATCTTTATTTTGTTTTGTTTTATATTTATAAATTCCCCAGTATGAATTGTGCATTTTAGCTTGGTACCTCTGTTTTCCATGCTATAATATGTTCAAACTTACCTCAAGTAATGATGATACTCATTTGTAAATATAGTTATAAATCACTTGAATCAGGAGAGATATCACAATTTTAGGATACTCACATAACAATCTCTATCCAAATTGAAGTCAGAAAGGTATGGAAATATCTCTGGAGGAAGCATTTTCCTCTAAGAAAAAAGACCTCAAAGACCACTTCTTAACTCTGTAGGACACCTCTGGTTCACTCTGTCAGGTTCTAGATTCTCAGGTATAGACACAGAGTATGGTGATCAGTAAATTATTACAGTGATTTTCCAAGGTGGACCATATGCCCAGGATAGCAAAAAGTTTCCTCACTGGATTCATTCTAATGAAATTTCTGCCGAAATGAAATCCTCCATTTTATGTCAACCAAATTGTTTCAGTTTCTCATCCCCAGTGATAAACTGGATCAAACCATCATGGTCTCAGAGACTGAGGCAGGATTTGACCAATCTTATGTTTAAGGACCACCAAACACTTGAAGCACCATGAAATTTTCAACTATAACAACAGTTTAGATTGATTTTTTTCAGATATAGAGGTGGCTAAGGAAGAAATAAATAGAAAGATATTAAATCTAGGGGAAAATTTTGTCTCTTCTCCTTGATTTTTTCCATTTTCTTAATATCTAGGGATGAAGAGAGTATTAGAAGGATAGAAATAATATTACAAAGAGAACGTGAAGTTGAGGAATAAACAATACAGTAATTCAGGTATTTGGCTTTTTTATCTACTTTGATCATCACAAAGGTCAGTGTATACATGCAGTAAAGTGATTATTATGAACTTTTATCAACTTAAGTAACAACACAGTCTTCTCCATGGAAAATTTATTATAGCTGTTTCATCATTGCTGGTTTGGCCATCTGCCCAGGAGGCTTCTTCACTTTTGTCATGTACCTCTGAACCTGATAGGGATTCTTTCTGTCTGAGATTGCTGCTAAGAAATTCTTCTTTCATGAAAATGATTTCCCTCAATAATATTATTATCATTTATAATTTAAAGATCAAGAAACAGAGAGATTAAGGACCTTAAGGAGGCTGGAGTTGATGGGATCTGGCAGTGGGATTAAATGCAGCTAAAGGAGATTGCCCTCCAGAGAGACAGGAGGAAAGATTGGAAACAACTAGAGAGAAGTCAGCATGTGGCAAGGGTGGACAATTAGTGCTTTCTCTCTTGATAGCTGCAAGTCCTGATAATGTAGGAGACAAGAGACAGTAGTGAGTTGGGAAAACTTGAAAAGAGGAGTGAAGATTTGAAATAGTTGTTGAGGGAGTTTGGGTGGAGAGATGACTAAAGAGGTGAGGTTGAGAACTTATCCTATTCGTGGTTCCAGTCCTCATGGCTGGTTGAGTTTTCGCAGCAGAAGGCAATAGTTAACTCTGTCACTGGAGCAACTGAAATAACACAGTTCACAAGAGGGATTCTATAGAACAACAAGGAGCAGTTGATCCAGGTACAACAGTGGGTGAAACAGTGGACTATGGAATGTTGTCTCGGTTGGAAATAAGATGAGGTTAGGATTAAAATTATTAACTGGAAGAAAAGTATAGGGCCTAATAGGAGGTCTTTCTACAGTTAAGAAGATATTGGAAGTGAAAAAAGTAGTGGGCAAGAATACTAAGTTGTAGCCAGAGAGTAAAAATATTTGAGATTTCAGAGATGGGATAATTTTATAACAAAGTCAAACTTTTGCCAGTGGGAATGGATCACTAAAATGGAGTGGAAGTGAGGACAAACAGAGTTGAAGATATCAAGGAAATGTTAGTTTAAGACAGTCAGTGGGTTAATGGTGTAAACATTTAAGTCACCCAAGCTGTTGGTGGAATCAGAAATGCAGAATAACATCATGAAAGAGCCAAAGTCTCCTGAAAAAGTGATTGGATGAGCATGGATTTGACTAAGTGGAAGAGAAGGCAGAGGAAGTGTGTGTGTGTGTGTGTGTGTGTGTGTAAAGTTTTATATATTTATTTCAGACTGTTTCTACAGTCAAGAATGTCTTGTTTGTATTTGGTGAAGAGAAAGTGGGTTTGAACAATCAAGTGGAGTGAGAAGGTTCTCCTTCCACAAGCCCTGTAGTACCCAGAGAGTGGGAAGATGAGTAGCTCGCAATGGATAATCTAGGGAGGAGGCATCCTTGAGGATGGAAAGTAAATTCACATCAGTTCACAGTCAACTCACAGAGCTTCAGAGCAGGAAGGGAAGGCAGGGCAGCTATGCAGGCAACCAAGATGGAGCGAAGGAGGCAGTAACTTGAGGGGCTAAGATCTGGGACAGTGACGAAGGACATCAAGAACAAGTGACAGGATAGCATTAGTCAACTGAAGCAATGGTTTAAAGATGTGTCTCTGCTCAGTCACACAGAGGCACTGGGCGCAGCAAGATGGCGCTTGCTGTCTGTGGCTTGTTGCAAAGTAGCCTGTGAATATTTATTGCACTATAGATAAATTATCTTATTTAGTCTTCATAAAAACTTCAGAATGTAGGCATAATTATCATCTTTTTTAAGAGATGAAGACACAGAAACTCAAAGAGGTAAAATATTTCTTCTACAATTACTATTGTCAGCAAGGACTTAATCCAAAACCCAAACCCAGGCTTGTCTGAACTTTCATTCTCTTGTACCAATTTAGAGCTGGTGTCTATCTCTGAATACACACTTTCTCTAGTGAGTCAATTAATTTCTGAGTCTGATTCTTTATCTCAAAATATAGCAATAATGTCAACTTCACTATCACTGACTTTTTACATAAACAATTTAGATGTTTGTAGAAACAGTCTGAAATAAAACCTTACACACACACACACACACACACACACACACACACATATCACTCCATTCATGAGTTTCTTTTTTGTACCTTTAAATCCTGGTAAATATACAGGTAAAACTACAGGTCAATCAATTACTCATTCGGACCTTAAATGTAATCTTGTTTCTATAACACTATCCTAAGAGAAATGACTAGATGCAGAAAGTAGAAATAGTTAAGATAAGATTGAACTGTTTTCTAGAAGAGAAACTTTCTCCAACAATGTAGAAGGGATTGTGTTTATTCAAGTTCTTTTTGCCATTTAGTGTGAAAGTCTCTCAGTCATATCTGACTCTTTGTGACCGCATGGACTGTAGCCTACCAGGCTCCTCCATCCATGGGGATTCTTCAGACAAGAATACTGGAGTATTTGCCATGCTTTCTTGCAGGGTATCTTCCCAGCCCAGGGATTGAGCCCAGGTCCCCCGCATTACAGGCAGATTCTTTACCATCTGAGCCAGCAGGGAAGCCCTGGTACTTGATAATGTAATACTTCTCTGTTGTTTCCCATGCCTACTGGGAGTAAGATGATATCTCATGGTGATTTTCACTTCATTTCTTTGATTACTGATGAGGCTGAGCATTGTTTTGTCTATTGGTCATGAATGTTTCCTATTATGTGAAATGTCTGTCAATATTGTTCATTTTTCTATTGTGGTTATTCCCCTTTCTATTTAGACACTCCCACTTTAGAAATGCTGAGTTTGCATCAAGAAGAAGGATGTAAGGTGTACAAGACCACACAACAAATTGGTAGAAGAGCCTAAGCTAGGACTAAACTAACCCAGTACTTTCGTACTATGTCATGGCCTCTTTTCCACTGAGATTCCTCCTCGCCAGACAGGGACCCCCTGGATGAGGGTGTTTGCACAGGATTGTGTGGGATATCCAGCTAGGACGGCTTTTGTTACTTCAGCTTTATTTTTCCAACAGAAATGTAACAAAATGTGCCAGACACATACATCAATTACAAGAGAACCCTGTCAATTTTGATGATACATGGAGTTTGTTGTAAAGCAACCACTAGCACAGAAGTCCCAGTCTGGGGAAAGATGGGGGTCATTATAGATATGATTTGAAACCTTGTATAAGATATATGATAGGCATTAGAGGAATGACAGTTGGAGCAAAAAATAATAAAATGTGACTTGCTAGAGAGTCTGGCTGGCTGATCAGATTTAAGTTTTATCACTGCAGCTTCCTTCTTTGTTTCATGGTATTTATAATGCACTTGATAATTTGTCATTTGTCCCTCTTTGATTGCATATGAGAAAAGAGGGAGTAGGGGATTGGCATGTGAGAAGACAGGGGAAAGTGATTTTCTGTCATTTCCTAACAATATCATCAAATAATAACTTGATATCTGGAAAGGAGGAATACTGAACAAGGGCAATATTACAGTTAATTCACTCATTCATTGATTCATTCATTCCCTCCCTCCTTCCCACCCCCATTTATTCATCATTTTAAGCACTGAATCATTTTTCTTGAACTAGAGTTCAACTAGAGGAAAATTGTATTTTTCTTCTGAGAGGTATCCTGTGTTCTTATGCATTCTTTCTCTTTACCTGCTGTCAGTTTTCTAGATTCTGTCATCCTGTCTTGCTTTCTTCCTCTTTTCTCTCTCCTTAATCTTCAGTGTCTCTCAGATTGAGGAGAAAATAATGTTTATGAAGCAACTCAGGTGGGTCCCCCATCAGATGCACAGGATCTAGCTTCCTAACCCCCTAAATATTGCACTGAAACCACAGATCTTCAGGGTTCATAGGAGCAGAATGTGGTCCATTAATCAGTCCCACTGTGTTCTGTGAGATGAACACCATGGCGAACAGGCTACTTGTCATAAGTACATAAGTAGATGGATGGGTTTATGGGGACGTGAAAAGTGAAAAGACCTTTGAAGACACCCAGTGTCTCTTTCCAATATTTGGTACAGGACAAATAGTTCTTTTTTCTAATAGGATGGTATAAAATATAATATTAGTAATTACACTATGTGCTGTCATTACAGAGTGCAAAACATTCTTTTCAAAGCAGTGTTTTAAATTAATTTCTCTCTTACCTCCTTTGTTTTCTTCCCACCTTCTTTCTCCTGTTATTACCATATTCACTTTATTGATTTATAGAATTAATTAAGCTCTTATTGAAGATCTTATAATCCAACTATGCTGTTTTACAGAAGATGAATTGAAGAGCAGGGGCATTATTCAGCCTTAATGCTTAAGTTCTTAAATCCTTAAACTCTCATCTTCTGACTTCTCAACTAGTATCCTCTACTCATTATGACTAGAATTTATACTCTAGGAGACTCCCTCTCAGACATCTTCTGACAGCCTTGTGCACTCTCTTCTTTTCTTCTTTTAAATAAATATCCAGTGACTGAATATCTAGGTGTTTCACATTCCCCTAGGTTAGTTGTCAGTATCAACACCACTGACTTCCTGGTGCTGACAAATAGACTTTTCAGATGCCTCTTGGGGTCATTATCCTTTATTTAAAGTTACCAAATGCAATCAAGTTTAGAAATAGCTTTTCTGGTGCACTTGTTTTCTCTGATTCTCCAAGATCACAAAGATCTAGGTTTTAAGAGTGGTTTAATTTATTTTACCTATCCTCCAGTCAGTTCAGTTCAGTCGCTCAGTCGTGTCAGACTCTTTGCGACCCCATGAATCACAGCACACCAGGCCTNCATTGCAGGCAGATGCTTTACCCTCTGAGCCACCAGGACAAGCGCTATAAAAAGAAGTCTCACATAAAATGGGGCATTTAATTATACCATGTGCATGTTAATTCATTTGACAAATGTTTATTGAGTACCTGGTATGTGCATTCACCTGACAAGTAGTGAAAATATAGAGGATAGACGTGATTCCCGCCTTCAGAGAGCTCATAGGTAGTG